CCCCCCCCCCCCCGGAGCTTAAACAGCAAGTCGTACAAAGTGATGTGCAATGTGCATTGAACGATGAGAAAATGATTCCACTTTTCTGTTACAATGTTCCAGTTTTTGCTGTCTAGTACAAGGTGAACAGAAGTGTGTTCATTGCGAATGGGTTCATTTTTATTCTCTTATAATATCTGGTGTCACGTTAATCTCGACTCTCTGTAAGCCGCACACCTCTCTAAGACGGACAGTCGGGCCGGTCCCGAAGGTGTCCGTCTTAAAGAGAGTTGACTGAATTTTTATGTTGTTCATACGAAAACGAAAAAGTCTTCAAACGAAAAAACGGGAGCGAATGTGGAATATGGAGAGTGAGACTTAATAGAAGACCCAGAAAGGAGCTGCCAGGTTTTATGAGGTTTGCTAGTCTGAAAGAAACACACCCCCGCCTCGTGCCTTGCGAGTAGCCATTGTTTTTTTTTTCATTTAGGAGAAAAAAAACCCTAATATTTTGTATTTCAAGGCTGTCTACTTCCACCTGCTAATTTTCAAACGTTTTTACGTTAAATTGCTCGATTAACCATTTAACATTCTACAGTGTGGTAATCCCTAAGGTTAAAATCGTAACGGGTGATCAATCTTCTGTAGTAAAGAAAGAAAAATGGGTGGTAGTGGTAGGGGGGCAGAAGGTCGCGGGGTGGGGGGACGGGGGAATGAATTATCACGCTGTTACCCAAATGTCTTCCATCTGTGGGGCAATCCCGCCATCCTCTGGCGTTTGGTACCAAGTGGCATTGGGGACATGCATCAACAACTTCATGTCGCCGACACGAATTGCCGCTCCTGTGTACCACGTGTCATAGGTCAGAAGAAGGCCAGGCCTTTTCTCACGAAAATCGATATTTAGTAGGATTTCAGTTCTGGGTGAAGGTGCTCCCTTTGCAATGGTGTCCCAAACGTCAAAGCCGTCTACTGGAATATCACCAGAGTCCATGGTACCACCTTAGAAATTAGTTGAAGATAGCCTATATGAGCCTATCCAATTTTCATTCCATAAATTTTCACGGAGAAAGGGCGCAAGCCTTCGGTGCGAAGATTTATGGGATAGCATGGGTGGAAAAGCATTAGTAACCGATCATAAAACGCGCTTGTCCATGCAAAGATCCCACAAATCGTCGCGCCGACAGCTTGTGTCCATTCTCCCTATCACTGATGGAGTGGCGAATAGTGATTTATTGTTAGAACGGCAGCCTAAAGAGAAAGGAGAGAAAGAGTATACCTGTTATTAATTCTAGCGTTTTTCGTCGAGCCTCCTCGCAAGACATACTTGCGCGCGTACGCACGACTACCCACTTCTCGTCTGGAGTGGGGAATGCCGAGTCACCTCCTACCCGAACCGGCGGGGGAGAGGGGGGTGGGGGGGGAAGGGGGCTCCTCTCACGAATTGCCTACTGGACTGATACAAATCCATTCGATAGCCAACTCTTGAAAAGAGTTAATTACCTGCCGAATGCCCTTTGGCCCTTTGTGTGGATCGACTTCTTATGATAAGTTGTTCCGTGGGATTTGTTAGTGTAAAGATGTTAAAATGAAGCTTCAGTGCGCTTGATCAATCTTGCTTAAAGTTACGTTAACTAGTTTATGAAGTAGTTTCAATGACCTGTTAAACGGACGAGAGTTGGGTACCAATCTGTGACATGAATTAATTCCTTGACGATCACTCCTTTTTGTTTAAGCATCTTTCCATAAACAAAAGCAGGCGTTCTCACCCCTCCCTCCCACAGGGTTCTCTTGTATCCACGCAGGGGGTAGTTGTAGCCTCTATTGACAGGATCTCCTCCATTATCCGAACTGAATATCACAAGTGTGTCATTCCATAACCTGAGGATCAACAACAAAGAAGTGATATTTTAAACAAGTTGAAATCTTGAAAATAAATTCATGAAGAACCATCTTGTCTTAGTTTTGCCCAGTCCATATGCACCCCCGTTACTGAAAAGTCAGATCTAGAAAGAGGCTAAGTTTTTTTTAGCATTTTGTACGAATTTCCTGAAAGAATCGTTAGCTTAAGTCTGTCAAAAGTTGTGAGCGAAAATTATTACGAGCACTCTATAAAAGAATTGGCGCGAGAAATTTAATTGTCTTTGAAAGTCAATTAAAAACCGCTATATTAGGTCTCGAAGGCTGTACAAAAAAAATGTTCTTCAGCAATGTGAACTTGCATTTTGCGATCCGTTGTGAAAAATATGCGCACAGTTCAAATTTCCACATACTGTACGAAACTCAATGAAGAAAAGTAAAATACAGCACAATGACTGAACACAATTTATGAATCAGTAGGATTTAAAAACGTTTTAGACCGGGTGCTTATTTCGGAGAATTTTGCCAGTCTTCTGGCAATAATAATTCTACCGTCAATTTATTACTTTTTTAATCACTCTTCTGACTTTATCTGCGACTTCTGAACTAAAACAAACTTTTCAATTAACCTTAAGATTAAAAATTTCAAAAATAAGAATTTACGAATCACAAACGGTATGAAAAAATGGCGGGAAAATCATGTCGTCGAGCACGTGGTGAACACGTGGCACAAATTTTTCGTGGTAACCATAAGCATTTAAACGCAAAAGCTTCACTGATTCCACAGCTAAACTCAAATAACTCTTTCCTTTTAAAAAACAATCACATTATAAACGACATGACTTTTCCTTACCCTTTTTCTTCAAACGCCGCCGTTATATTCCCAATAGCTTCATCAACTACATCCATCATCGCAGCGTAGCCTCTTCTTTCTTTATCTTTAATAATCTTGTATTTTCTCAGATATTCGTCAGGCGCTTGAATCGGGTCGTGGACGTTCTCAAACGCCATGTAAAGAAACAGCGGCGTAGATGAATTGTGTTCTGCGATAATTCTATTGGCTTCCTGATTTCATGAAGAAAGAACGCATATAAACCCACCATTTCGATCATTTATTACCATCTTTTTCATATCTGTTGTAAAGTGTACAGACTCACAACTTTTTGAGACGCAAATGTCAGATGTCTAACTGATTTTTTTTTTAGATTTTTTCATTTATTGCACTTTTCAAGAGGTTGCTACAAAAAATAACAATACATTGCACCAAAGGGTCACCACACGAACCTTCTTCGCAGTTTTAAATACGTACAAAAGGCAATTTCGACATTTTAATAAATGTTCCATGACAATAGACCTATTCGGCTAACTCAGTGTTCTACCCAATTCAAATCTCCCGGGGATAAGATTCTTTGTGTATTGTATTTGCATTATAATGTGCCATTCACATTTAAATGATCTGGAAATTCCTGAAACAAAACGTTTTATTCCCAAAGGGTTTGAATTGGGTACAACATTGAGTAAGACGAATAGGTCTATCAAACCCCCCTTTATGGGCGGGACAAGCGCTTAATACGGACACCTCATTATTATGGACAGTTTGCTTTGTCCCTGGGGAAAGAAAACTCTTTTATTTTCTCTTATTTTTTTCTATGGCCCCTTCAGTGTCTGTTAATTAACGCCGGGTTTGACCGTATTACCTTTACATATAGATGTGTAGAGTACTGTCCATGATATTCTCTTGTCACTTCCTCTCCTCTGAAGAAGTCCAGGAAGCCATCGTGGGTGTGATTATAGTGATCACGTCCATAATTGCAAAATCCAAAGAATGAGTCAAAGCCTCGATTTGTTGGAAGGCTCGCTGATGTGTGATGTCCTAGATGCCATTTTCCGATGATATGGGTTCTATAACCTGTAGGTACAAAGGTATATTAATGAAGCAGACATCTTTGTCATAGCAAGCTTTATTAACGTTGCTTGAGGTGCTTTAAGTTTTATCCCTCTACTGTCCAAAGACCATAGGGAGGAGAAGTGTGACATCAGGTCAGTGGTGGATCCAGGGGAAGGGCCTGGCTGGCCCCCCCCCCTTATTTTTCGACCAAACTGAGGCCCGAAGGACTGACAAAAATTTTTTTTTAGTCTAGCCCCCACCTTATCTCAGGGTCTGGATGACTGCTCCCCCCCCCCCTTTATCTGAAGGTCTTGATCTGCCACTGCAGGTTACCATGGTAGCAAAATTTCTGGAACTCAACAATCTTTCTTGACAGAGACAGTCATTTGGACTGTCAGACGACAGAAAAAAGTCACAGGCTACCATTTGGTTCCTGAGTGCAATAATTGTGCATAGGTAAGTCATACCTGTCCATTTTTTTTTCCGCAAGACCAGGGCTTGTTGAGATCCAGACATACCATGGCAATGTGATGAAACAATGTCTCCTCTATATTGGACTTGAATTATTCCAAATCATCTCTGTTGAATCTCACCCAGGTGACATGCGGGGTGTGATGGGAAGCTGAAGAACTTAACTTATGAAGCAGATGATTGCTGAAGTAAACACACGAAAGATAGAGATGCTCCGTTAACCTAATGCTCATGCAATCTTGGTGTACTTTAAACTACTTACCTTCTTCTTGTAGCTTTTCTGGAAGGGTGGAAAAATGTAGAGGTAAGCCAAAAGGAGTTAAACATAGAACTGCCCTATGCTGAAGACCTGTAAAATTAAAATAGACAAGTAGGTGAAATTATAGGGTAAAGTATGATATTTAACAATTATTCCTTGAGCCCGAAGGCCAACCAACTAAATATAGTTGGTCAAAAATATCAAGACAAAACAACTTTAGCTAGCAAAACGCGATTCAGCCACCATTGTTTAGGTTTTCAAAGCCGGTGCTTTTCGCTACTTTAGGGGCTATAACATATAGCCTAGTAGTAGCTCAACCAATCAGAATGCAGATTGATAATAGACCACTAGTTTTACTAAAAAGAGACATATCTTTGGAGGTTCAGCCGCAATTAGATATGTTGTAGTTAACTTCTTATCTCAGGTAAGTTTTATTTTTCCTTTGTTTCAACTTCACTAGCATACATTTAATTACCATACCCAAAAGAAAAGAAAAACAATAATTACCTGAGATGAAAAATTAACTACAAAAGATATATGATGGGATACTTTGGTTGTGAAAATCTCATCATCCTTACTAATTCTGCCTATCGGTCTATCGGTCTTTAACTTGAAGATGAAATATATCTGGATATTAAAAAGATGAGATTATCGGCTAAGAAGTATTATCAAAATCTTGGAGAGAAGTGAACAAGCCACAGATTCCTGAGAGATATTTCTAACCATATTCGCTATTTAGGGTAAGTATCAATTGAAAAAAAAATTGCCAGTAAATATGGGGATTACTGAGTTTTATGAGTCTATTGTCAGTGACGTGGCAAATTTTGAATTAAGGCGTGTTGATACTGAGTTCATTAGTAGTTGTTATCTCCTCTAGATGCTGTATGGCTGGCTAAAAAAACTGCCTAGTTGATATTTCAGTCTGGCTTTCTTGTCACTGAAGCAAAATATACCTGCACTAAAATTATCTAAAAGTTCTGTAAAGAGAGCAGAAAATTGATCATATAATGACACCATTCAGCTTGCAAGAAAATATGAATTTTAATCTCTGATAATTTTTACAGTACTTAGTTTTCTTTTCCAATCTGAACTCCTTGTTTGGACAGCAATAATAATAATTATTGTACCATTATGCCATAACATGGATCTAACCATAGGACCTCCCCTCTCCCTTCACTAAACTTCCCCTTCAAATCATCATATACTGGTATTTTTGCCTCAAGAAAAGTCTTGCAGTTTGCTTCTGCTGTGTACTAGTTTTCGCACTATTCGCCCTATAGGCCATTTATTTTTCACAATGACGACATTTGACTAAAACTACCAGAATTCATTTCATTTTTGGTTTCTTATTTAAATTTGTCAATCCCACAGAGGTTTAATAAACAAATAGCCTTAATTTACACAAGAAAACAACAAAATGAAACATTCTGGTAGTTGCAGTAAAATGGCGCCATAGTGCAATAATTATTGTCCTACTTTTGCCCTTTCGCTTTATTCCCAGTCCAGTAAATTAAGATGAGAGGGACTGTGGGGAGAGTATAACTTGGTCTCTGAGTGCTGGCAAGGATGGCAGAAAATACCTCAGACTCATTTGCATCTCTTTGACCAACAGAAGAATGAAAATAACAGAGCACATTTGTTTAATGCCTCGGATCTTTCTAGTGCTGACTTTTAACTTTATTATCGATAATTTATCAAAATAGACCTCATTAGCACCTAGGCTTTGTTTTCCCGAAGGCCATGTGATAATACTCAAGAACTGTTCCTTTCAAATTTCAGTCCTCAATTTCTTTTTATTCACGTACACATAATGAAAGGAGAAAGGACAAAATTCCCCTGAGACCTTAATTGGAAACAAAACATACACGCTAAAGAGGTCTATTTACCGCACAGCCCTGCATCTGACTCTGCTGGGTCCATCTTACCGGTGTGTATTGGGTATCGGCCTGTCATAAGAGAGCCTCGTGTAGGAGAACAATAAGGCTGTACGTAATAGTTATCCAGTATGACACCATCGCTCGCCAACTTGTCGACATTTGGTGTGCGAATTTTCGACCCGTGGAAACCGACATCGCTCCAGCCAAGATCGTCAACCAGTATCAACAAGATATGAGGTTTTTTGGCCGTTTCAGTGGCAATTATCACACAAAAATTTACAAGAAAAAAAGTAGTCGTTACGAGCTCGAGGTTCATGGCAGACGAATACTGTATGAGCAGGTTTTGAATATTTTTACCGCGCTAAGGTTGTAACATGTCATGCAATGTCATGTATCAAAGTGTAGCATGTTAAAGCCATTCTTCCAGGGAGACTTATTGTGTTGCTTTGTTAGCTTTAAATTAATAAAACGGGCATATCTAACGGACTTTACAAACGTAAATTACCTTATATTCCTTTCTTGATACTTCTTCTTCTTCTTTCTACGAATGATAGTCCACGCCTGGTTCCCTTTTAAGCTCTTTTAGTTGCGTGACAAGGTGACAAAATCAAAATAAACTTTTGCGCCTGCGATACCTGATTACAAAACTCCGCCAAAAAAAGAAAATCCAAGATGTCGGAATATCGCAGAGAAGCGTTGAAAAACAAGTACGGCGGCTTACCCTCTGTTCCGAAACGGCCAGGCAAAAGTAATTTGTAAGTATAAATAACTTAATTTTCTGTGACTTGTATACCGTTTGATCTGATTCTTTCCCTCATTCAGTGCTCCTGGAGGAATTCGCCGGAAGAGAGATTACACGCCGCTGTCATGGGAAGGGTATTTCGAAACTTCAAGAGATGTTCGGGTCAGCGAAAAAAATGTATCCTTTCTTCGTTGATCGAGGTAGACTCTTATGTACTATTCTGTTACTGAATGCAGAATTGTTACAAAATTCGTGCTCTCAAACTTTTATTTTGAACAAGTAAATGTGCATGAATATAAACACAAAGCTAGAGATGAAAGAGGAAAGACTGAAACTTTGTTTTGTTTTGTTTTATCAACTGTATTGGTCTGAGTCTCTCTAAATAAATAGTTACAGTAACGAAAAAAAATGATAGTATAAAAAGGCCAAAAGGTAAGGGGCAAACGGGACCTCCCATGCAGGGCACTTCCCAATTAAATCAGTAAAAATCTTAAGAAATGTGTATTAAACTAATGTTGCCAGTGGCACTCACAATTACGTGCAAGACCCCATGAACTTCAAAGACATTTGTTAATTCATCTTTGTGCAAGTCAGTTATACTATTCTTTAAAGTCTTCATGTTTAGAAAGTCACTGGGCTGAATTAATTTACATATTTGGTTCCATAATTTAATACTGCGATTTAAAAATCAATATGTAATAAAATTACTTAACGTGGTTTTAAGATATTTCGAGTTTACCAGGCTGGAAGTAATGGACCGTTATTACTGTTGCTCCATGGTGGAGGGCATTCTGCTTTATCATGGGCTGTCTTTACAGTGAGTATAATTCAAAGTTTATACTCCGTGACTCACTGAGTTATTACTTTTTTACACATTTTAAGCGTCGACGATCTGTTGATTAGTTAAGTTGAAAGAAATCCCAGATTTCATGAAATTCTTAACTGAGTAACCACAAAGGTTAATACAAATATGTATGTAAGGAGAAAAGTGCAGTTATATATTTCAATTTATATTAGGTATTTACAACTTAATATGTACCCCTAACCTAAAGAGATTTCTTTTCCTTCAGAAAGCAATCTCTGGAATATGCCACTGTCAGATCTTGGCAATAGATCTTAGAGGTCATGGTGAGTATTGTAAAAAGTTAAAATTACCGAGAAGTTAACTGGTCGCTCATATACTTCAGTGAATAAAATAATGTTTTACATCAACCCCCACAATATCATACAGAGCCTTAATTACCCTTATATGGTGAAAAGGCAACAGATGCTCTGGAACCACAGAATCCTTGTTCTGGTTTGATTGGGCTTGTGTGAAGTTGTTTTAAAATTTTTTTGAGGATGATGATTGTGATGATGATGATGATGATGATGATGATGATGATGGTAGATCTTGCAGCGAGGGAAATCAGGGGTCAGAATCTAGTTAACATAGACTTTCTGTGTGGGGCATACATCAAGGAATTAGCCATGGTAACAATGGTCCTTAGTGGGAGATGATTAGGGAGACTATGTATATGTTACAAGCAAAAATTAAGTTCAGGTTAAGATATTTTATTCTTGGTTGATTCTCAATTTCTTTTGTCTCCTAACCCTAATTATTCATGAAATAAGGCTAGGAGACTAAAGGAAACAGAGAAGCAACCTAGGTTAAAAAATTTTAATCTGAATTTAATTTTGACCTGTAACATATACATTGTAGTAAACAGCAGTGTACTTAATTCCTTAAGGTGACACAACGACCGAAGATGATTACAATTTATCAGCAGATACCCTAGCAAAGTAAGTGTAAGGAAATTTTTTTGTTCTTCTACTCTGTACTGCAAGCAGTCATTTTCTTTCCTCAGTTCATCAGAACGCGTCAGTGAGCTTACCTTTGGATATGTAAATTAGTATTGAAAAACAATGAGGAAGTATCTAGTACACAAACTTTTTCTCCCTTTGAAAAACAAATAATAGTAAAAGGGAAGGCATTGCTTGCAATGTGCTGCTATTACATGTAAGCAGCCTTATTAGCTTCCTGAGATCAGATGGTGTGTTTGGTGATATTAGGACCAGTAGACACCTTATTCAATTTTGATTTAAATGAGTAAGATGCAAAGAAACAGAGGTTATTAAATCTTTTTTATTGTGTTTGTGATCTAATTTTAGAGATGTGAAGGATGTTGTGGACAAGATCTATGAAGATGTTGATTCAAGGCCGAAAATTCTTCTGGTTGGCCACAGGTAAGCATTTGTATGACTAGAGACATACTACACATCCTAAGTAATGTCACCATGCACAACTACATGTAATGATGCCCGGTCTTCAAGGAACACTAAAAATTTATTATTACTAGTTTTCTGTCAGTTATGCCCAATTCACACCAACTAAACATGTTTACTTAAACCAGGTTTTTAAAAAATTAGGAAAAGCAGACACGGAAAACTGGAACCCTGTTTTTTCACACAAGATTCAAATGAAATGTAACCCTGTGAGAAACTTCTTCTTTCTGAGGTTGCAAATGAAGCCAGTCACAAAGAGAATGCACCTGTGAGCTGCAAAGCTGGGAGGTGGAAAAATGGAGACTCCCTCTTGCATCTTCTTTTGCATGCTGCTTGCATGTGACTTCTCATGATATCCCTCAACTGGAGAGCATGCTTGCAAATCATAAGGTTTTTCTTCTGGTGACAATTATAATGTTAGATTTATGTTCATGTATATTTTTCAGCATGGGTGGAGCAATAGCTGTCCATGTTGGAGTTCAGGGATTGTTGGGCCCATCTCTAAGTGGTCTGGCAGTTATTGATGTGGTGGAAGGTAAAAATAACCTTAATCCTTTAGGCCCTAAGGGTGATCAGCATCAAATTTCTCCTTGTAATATCAATGCTTTGTAAAACAGAGTGGTCATGAGAATTAAAGACATGATCACCGAGATGAATTTGCTTGATATTTTATTAACTTCTCCCCACTACTTCTGTAGGGAATGATTAGAGGCAACAAGTGAGATTTCAAATTTTGATCTTTAAGCAACTCTACCTTCGATACTGATTTACGGCCGCAAGCAAAG